ATTTTCAGTACAAATCGGCAATTTCATACTTTAACCCCTATTATAAGGAATACGGAAACTAAATTGGCATTCACAAAAATAACAGCTTTGAAATAAGTCCTTCTGTTTGGGAGCTACGACAGCACAAACAGAAACATATACTCAGACAAATGCTTCGAACTCCTAACTCACCGTTTGGTGTCAGAGGTAAAAAAATGTTTCAGGATTACATGTTTCAATTTGATGACCACTATCTGTTGGTAATTCGGAGATAGCAGCAGAGTTCACAATGACGATTAGAAGTGTCTCTTAACATTTTTGGAGAAAAAGTAATTATAAAAGAACAAGCCCTGAGTGATATAACAACGCACTGTCAAAATTATAACTCCTCTCTTTTTACGTCGGGGGTTATAAATAGACATTATCATAAGACGAGAATTATATATTTCTATATGCATTTAATGACGCACTCACTTGAGAATAATTTGATAAAACCCAATCATAAAATTGAAAAAAAAATCACTACATTAAAATGACGTAGAACTAACAATATCATTAGTATTGATATCGATTATGAGCACGGATAAGATTAAATATATTAAGATTTGAAGAAATCTTTTTAAAATTTACTTTAACATTATTAATATAAAAGTTACTGTATCTGACATTAGTATCACAGTTATTTTTGTGACTAATAGACGTTTTGTAACTTTTCTCAAGATGATGCCCATTAAAATTGTTTACGTGGTATTAAGCACATTAGTGTTAACAAACAAAGTAAATAGTGACCAAAACAAAAGAGCCATAGATATTGAGTGGGAAGCCGTACATCCACCCTTTGATCCAAACATATACGAGGAAATTTTAGATCCTGAGCTATGTGCAAAACAAATCGAATATTTGATTTCCAACGATACGCTTTTGCTGATGACATGTAAGTATTGTGAAAGATTTTAATTCACATTTTGCTAATTGATTTTTATTAAATATTATGATGTTTATGTTATTTTTGGTGAAATTACTCCATTCGTTTGTTATTTTTAATACAAAATCGAACACACAGAAAAAATCCTTCAATTTAATAGGACCCGAACCTATGTCTATGCCAACACAGGGCCACAGTTCTATCAATTGAGCTACAGATCGAATCAGCGGATCTTAGGAATTTCTTTTAGTCTTTGTTACAGATCTTTTGTGTTGCATTTTTATCGGCTTTTGGCTGCTAAGTGAGGTTTCTCACTCAGCTGGAACCTTTTGCAAATTACTAATATAACCATGAACAAAGGGCAATTTTTTCTATAAATATAACGCCTAACAACATGTCAGCAACCCGAAAGAAAGTGCTCAAGTAATCGCTTCTTTCGAAGAAGATTCTGGGTACCTATCGGCTAGAGACATTACGCTCGAACAAAAAACTTTTAGCTCTTCCCACCAATAAATTAGTTCTGTTATCCAAAGATTGCCAATTTTTTGGACATGATTCACATGGAAGCGCTTTAATTAATTTTGTGTATTTATCCAGAAGAGTTAAGGGTACAAAACTTTATTTATATTTCCTTTTTTTTCTATAAAAATTCTATTCGAAAAATATACTCAGTAAAATAATCGTTATATTTCTAGACAATTATATAGCCTCCCGTACCCTTCTTTACTTACCATCAGATGTGATTGTGAACAAAGTGAAGGCTATACTATATAAAAAAAAATTATGCCTACAGTTCTCGAGACAGGCCCAAGGATACCACGTGGAATTCTGCAAGGAAATCTTATAGATCTAGGAAATTACCACCAATGCCTTGGTATTAACAAAGAAATCGATGATATGGTTATTGACGGGAAGTATTGCCAAATAGGAATTGGATTGTCAGAACTTGAAATTTTGGGTAGTAGAACTGAAGTGGAAAACGCAAAAAATGCAGTTGATATAATATCTAAAACTGATGGAATAAATTTATATAGAAAATTACGAAACAATTTAGAAGTATTGGATGGGGTAGAAAGTAAAAACGCCTTAAGGTAAGCCTCGCAATTAAAATTATTTTATTTCATGTTTCGCTCTAAATTATTTTTATGAAATTCAGTACATTGTGAGATTATAAATCGATAATACAACCCTTGCGAAAGTATTACCTACCTATGGCAGGAAGGCAGTCTTCCATGTTTGGTAACCCGTAATACGAATTTGCTGTCAAATTATTTATTTCACCATTTTCCAATACGGCCACCACATTTTTAACTTTAACAGTTTAGTTTTTGGAAATAATTCTCGGACAGCTGAAAATAGGTACGATTAAGGTTTCGTGACCTTCGAAAAGATAGACGTATTTGTTTTCCTAGAAGTAATGTGTTAGAAACGTGAACATTTACTGAATATCTTACGTTTTAGAATGAGTGCAGATAATGTGGACGATTTACAGTTTAGTGTAGCTATTTGTGTACCCAAGCCTTGCTCTGTGAGACAAGCGATAGAAAATCTCACTGAGTTGATACATTTTGAGGAACAATTTTGCCGATTTAAAAATGACAAACCTTTGGCACCAGGGGTCTATGTGGCTATGTAAGTATTTTTCTTTTCTTTCAACAATAACTCCATCACCAATTCTTAGGACTCAAGTCTGACCCATAAATAGTTTTGACATTGTGTAAAAGTTTTTAACAAATAAGATATCATATTTTGCTATCGTTCCAGTTTTTCAAATCCTGCTCACATTATCAGGATTTAATAACATCAGAAATAAAGAATGTGTTAGCAATTACACATCTAATATTTATTTCACTTTAATTTTCAGTGTATTCTTCAGTTCAATTGCTTTACTGGTTATTCTTAGTACAAGCTATGATATCTGGAATACAGTTATTCATAAACGGGGTAAGTTCTTATAATGTTCTTATAATAATATTGACATGTACATAGTGACAAAAAATAGCAACAGGTAGTGTCTGATATAGTCGTCAGTATTAAGATTTTCATACCCATTATGTACCAAATGAAACGTAAAAGCTTCTTTCTTCGTTAAAGCTTTCCACTCTCTCTATTTTGTGAATATCTTAATATCAGATACTACTAGAACTACTAACTGTTTTATATGAACTATTTATAACGTTCCAGATTATTTACATAGTCTTTTTCCTTCTATTTTGCCTACCTTTACTTAGCTTTTCGATGTTATCCTGGTTTTTGGATACTATATGATTAAAACACTGCCTCCGTGGCCGAATGGTTGCCATGCTCGACTGGGCAGTCGAGCTGAAGTCCCGGGTTTGATTCGCGTACCGGGAGAAATATTTATATCTCTCGTGAGTTTGGGTGTAATTTGTGGTTGTCTACATGTGTGTCCATGGCACCCGCGAGGTAGGGTTTCCCTAGTGCGGGGCTATCAATAAAATAAATTAAACAAACTAAAATTTTAAAAAAATAAATAAAAAAGTGCATATGGTAAACAATTTTCGCCGTTTGGCGTTTACAGTTACATACTGATAAATCTTGAAGAAAGTAATAATATTATCCAAGTGTCACTTTTCATACTTAGGCACTGGTATTATTTGCATAGATATGAAGTTAATGTTTTGTGTAGATAAATTTAAATTATATAATGAATATTATTTATATAAGGTCGCTTAGTTCGTGGAGTAGCTACTTGTGAAGCTTCTTGATTTTACCGACTTGCGACAAATGGTTCAATATTGCTTTATAGTTTGAGACGGATCCGCTTCCATTATACCTCTCAATCCATCATTGTCTGTTGTCCGGGCGTCCTCAACATTTATTTACAAGACTAAAATTTCCAGAACGGAAAGGCTTAAAACAATAAATAAATGAGTCGTTGTTAGTATTAGTTCCTTATAACATGTTAATATTGCGTGCCGCTTGAAATGCATTGTTTTCACGTCGGAACTCAAATTTGAAAATGACGTAAGTTTCCTTCGTGGAATGTAAAAAATTTAATTATGAAATGCTAATTTTGAAAATGGAATAAATCAAGTCTTGAAAATGAAACCAATTTAAATTTAGAATTCAAATTGCAGATATACTAGTGCCGCTAGTGTATAGTGAACAATGATTGTACCTCGATACTTGAACTAAAACTTTTTGAAGATGAATACTTATATCGACGGTTAACAGGCAATACCTCGTATGCCACATTGATAACTTCACAATAAGCGATAAAATAATGTTTTTTTTTACGTCTAATTTTAACTTTTGCTAAAAAACTTAGTCTTATTTTATTAACAATTTACATTACTTCAACATCTTAAACTAATTAACATTTGCTTTAGTTTTAATAAAAATGTGGCTAACAAGGCATTACTTCAAATTATAAAACTACATTTGTACTGACATGTGGAATACGAGTTATTAAATTTTTTAGATTCTTGGTCAAAAATAAAATAGGTTATAATGAAACAATATAATTTTTGTTAAGTTTAATATTACTATAATATTCTATGACAATAAATAGTAGATTGTACAACAAGTGCATAAAACACGCCTTACTACCCGAGACGAGACATCCGAGCCACAGGCGAGGGTGAATACTTAAGTCGAGGGTAAAATGGGTTTTATGAATGAGTTATACCCTCTGCTTTTTACTTCGATTGCGAGGATATTAAACAGCAATATTACAAATAAACAAACGACTATTTCATTAATGTAAAGATTCTCGGATTTATTAAAATGTGCGGAATGATGACATTACGATGCCGTAACAAGCAAACATTGTATGCATTTAAAAACATAACACTTAACAACACCAAAGCACCATTTCCCTGTACAACTCGCACGAAGTACCGAAAAATCGCAAACGTTGCCAATGCCAACTTGTCTTTAGCACCACAAATTAGAAAGATGCGCCAGCAAGCAAACTGTCACACAAAACGTCACACTTGACAACACTTAACAATGACAGACAAGTGGCTTGCGGCTTGACACTAGTGGATTATGATATTTTGCCGATTAAAAAATTAAGCGTTTACCATCAGTCATCAACCTCATTTAAAAAAAAAAGTGAGATGTGAGGTATTGCCTGTTAATCGTCGATATATTTTGTGTTTAATTTCTTTTCAGATCCCAAATCTCTCAGCACTATTTCTCTATCGTTCTCAGCATATACAAATGCTCGACATCTCATCACTTTTAAACCAGTTCGCGGTGCTTTAGAATGTGTCGATGGCATCAGAGCAATATCTATGGCTTGGATTGTAATGGGGCACTCGTTCGGTGTTTTTCCACCACTTATGAATATTTTGGACTTTTTTCAGGTACATTGTATATTTATTGTTCATTTATCTGTCTTAAACTTCGTTTTTAACCGATTTCAAAAAAAGGAGGAGGTCCTCAATTCGACTATATGTTTTTTCTATTTTTTGTATGTATGTTAGGCGATAACTCCGGTGTTTGTCAACCGATTTTCATGGTTCTTTTTTTTTGTTGGAAAGAGGGTACCTCCATAGTGGTCCCATTTAATTTTAAAGAAAATCATCCACCTCTAAGGGTGGCTGTTAACGCATTCATTTTTATAAATAGCGCCTAAGTTTTATTATAAGAGGCAATTATTTTAATGGTTGATTTTGCTATTCTCCAATTCAAGGCGTTTTCTCTCTCAATATACTTTGAGTTACGAGAACCGATTTTTATTATCTCCTGTATCAAGTCCCGCATAGTGGCGAACTAGGGGATGAATCCGGATTTGTGCACTTTCCGGTAACCGATTTCAATAAAACTTGGTAATTATACATATGTAATTTGCCACGTACTTTTGAGGTCGGTACTACGGTTTTAGTACTCTGTACTGAGATCATTTTATTGTAAAAAGCTCGATATTTGATAAAATGTACGCCTGATTTCTACCGAACAAGTACCCATAATTACTATAAGAAAGATCAAAATCTTTCATATTCAGATGATTTTGGTGTATCTAAAAAACTAAATTCGCGATTGTTACACATTGAAAATGAACTTATTTTTTCCGGCCCGATGTAACCTCCACTTCGTTCGTGAAGTAGCAAATTAATTTACCTCCATTTTTATTAACATGGCTTCCGCAAAGTAACGTCTGAATCTATTAATTATTTTTCCGGATCTAAATCGCGGATATTTGTTTTTTCAGACAAAACCTGCCATGTTTTTTTTCTTTCAGCGTATTGTTATTTCAAATCAATTTATATAAATAAAAAAAACATAATGTACAATTTGATGGTGACAGGGTTCTCTGTCTGTAAAGGACCCACCTTGACTCAGAACCAATATCTTACCTATTTGTACCGCCAAGCAGTACTCTTCCGAATTGATGGATAGGGAATGTCTCTTGACGCACAACGTGTTGCAATATAAAGATTAATTTCTTCTGGTCGTAGACGTTATCGTTAGCAGTGATCACTTTCTATCAGATGATCTTAATAACTGTTAAAATACCAGTAAATAAATTTTATTTAAAATATTTGCTAACTAATTTCTAAGCTTCTTATAAGTAATTTATTTTTACTCTACTGCAGTGGGGTATGTCAGTTGGTTCAATGTGGTTGACTACAGCACATATTGGTGTGGACACATTCTTCATGCTAAGCGGTTTGCTAATCGTCTACACTACAGTAGGAAAAATTAGCAGTAGTAAGTATCTATTCAAGAATCTTGACATAAACAGGCACATGTCTTATCTATTTTAATTTTCATCGAGTACTAGCTGGTGCCCGCGACCGCGTCTGCGTATAATAATTACTTCAACCTACTGTATTATACTAATACTAATTTTCATCTAAATGTATGTAAAAAGGTAACATAAACAAATAAGCATCAACATAGTTCAACAAATGAGAAAAAATGCAATACCTACCTATGTACCTTAGTACATTTTTGTAAACAACGATCCTTGTTTTTGCATTGTTTGCTAAAATATTAACACTTTGTGAGCTCGGTACTCTTGAACACGTCACATAAAGTTACTCTTGGGAAAAACAATTCAATGTACACCAGCTACTATAAGTGTTTACTTTTGAGCTTTGTTTATCGTCATCGCAAATGCTGCTTTCCGGGAAAACTGCAATCTTTTAAACTGGAATGGTATATCGGTCGTTTATTGGAATACGGGAAATTAAAACATCTTCTCCGTTTGCTATTCCAGTTATAATTATTGCTCTTATAATATTATGTCCCACGTGTGTAAATTGGAACCGTGTGGCATTACAAAGTCTTGGTGCATCAAGGTTAAGCATTAATAATACCAACCCCTGTACTCTCGTTCTCCGTCATATATTTTACTGCACAATGAAACAGTTTTAAAAAGTAATTTCATTTCGTTAGGCATATATTCCAAATGACAATATTAAGCAAATTCTTTATTATATCCCTGTGTATCTTAGAAAATCATGTCTATAGCTCGGTCTAGTTCGGCAATTGTTGTTTCTTTTTGTAAAAGTATATACCTTACACAACTTATCTTTGTAATTTTAATTTTGTTTATCTTACAGTGAAACTATTAAAGAACCTTCATCTATTTTATCTAAATCGACTTCTTCGAATGTTTCCTCTACTGGCCGCAACCATATTGTTGCAAGTTGGCGTGTTACATTACATTCATGACGGTCCTATGTGGATGACAGTAGCTATCCAGACTGAAGATTGTAGATCGAAATGGTGGTTAACATTGCTTTATGTGCAAAATTATTTTCGACCATCTGTATGTATTTCGTTTCTTTAAAATTTTCGTAAATATTAAGTTTAATATTGTAAGTTAAGTTTTTAAGGGATTATTAATATTAAACATTGATCTACATCACTGATCTACAGTCCATATTAGTGTAGTTGTAGTTCAATTTGCACAATGATTTATAATATTGTAAAGATATATGCAACTTTGTACACTTCTCATCGAATACCGTAAGTTCTTCATTATTCGAGAGTGTTACGATCGTTGTCATGTATTGCTTAAATAGTTTGCTCCATTATTAAGATTTTGTTCTTTTTTAGTGTTTAGGTCATACCTGGTACTTAGCAATTGATATGCAGTTACATATTCTGTCTCCACTGATTTTATTCTGGGTATTGTCAGGCAAAAAAAAACTGGCATGGTCGGCTTTGATTGCCTCACTATTAGTTTCTCTCACGGCGTCTTCAATTTACAACTTTATGTATAACTTCATTGGGTCTTCTATACGATTTATGTAAGTATTATGCAAATACCATTGACTTACAATTATATGGACGTCGGGTCCGCGCTAAAAAGTGTCCGCACTTGTAAGGCGCTAAAATCGTATACAGAGCGCGACACTCCGCTTTAGTATTCATTTGTTCTACGGACAGCGCGATACTGCGATGACATAACAATTTAAATTTCGAATAGGTGGACTTGGGACATTTTTTTCGTGGTTTTTGTATTAGACCCGTCGTCCATTTATTTGTATGTCAATGCCAAATACAAATTTATGTGTACGAATTTACATAAGTCAACCACTAATAAAATGGGAAAAATTGTGTCTAACATATTGGCCGTGAGTTTTACATTACAATGTTAATAGTTTCAATCGATAAATAACATAGTTATACCTATAATATTCCACTTTAGGGCATGACTTTTATATAAGTTGAAGGCTTAGTTAATTCACCATCCAGGGCTAATGTTGGTTGAGAACAGCCCACGTCCTCTAAGAATTTCGTTATTCTTACCGACACTATAACATTATTCACAGTTTTTATAGTAAAATAGCAAACAAATTGTAAATGCTCCATGCTAGGTTGTTCTTATTTCAGATTGGACCTAGAAGAGATCGACCGATACACGAGGTATTATTACTACAATACATTAACAAGATGTTCACCTTTCTTTGTTGGGATGTGCTTTGGATATTTGATCCACTACTGGCGCGAAAAGAATATTCGATTAACAAAAGTAAGTACTAAACCTCAGTTATTTAAGTACCGAATAATATGGTGTTAATTATTTTGTTCGATAGTGCTTATTTTGTGTAAAAGATCATGTCATTCAGAATATGTTCTTGCATGGTCCGATGAAGATGAAATTATAACAAAATATTGTTTATAGATCATGAATTGTATGTTATGGATCGTTGATTTAACCATATTGTGGTGTGCTTTCTACGTGTCCACGCCGATGAAAAAAGCTGCCTTTGATAACCAAACTATGGACAACTTAGTGAATTCTTTCATGCGACCAGCATGGGCTATTGGGCTTGGTTGGCTCATTCTTGCTTGCGCTGAAGGTTACGGAGGTGAGTAAATGTCTACATAAATAGTAATTTTTGTCAGTGTAGCCTTTTCCATTCCTCACACTCCTTAACCTCTTTATAGATGCTTTAGCGTTGTCTTTTATTTGCTTCCTGAAACCGATTTTCGGTCTCTCTCGCCTTCTCTTTTCTTTTATCTTCCACTGAATTATAACTTTCATAAATTCGTCATTACCTAACAAAAATCCAAAAATGTTCCCTTTTCCTTTTTAAAATGACTTTATTTTCTCAGTCCAGCTAACAATATTATTACTAACCTTTTTCCTTATATTTTATCGTAAATTTACATGCAAGTATTATAACATTAATATTTTGTACTAAGAAATTTGACAAGTAAATCTGCAATTGGGATTTCGCCAATGATATTTAAATTGAAATCAACAGTGTCAGGTTCAAGTACATTGAGTTCTATAACCCATAAGTTAGCAAACTCAATAGTCACAGCTAACAAAAATTACAAGAACTTCGAAAAAATTTTTAACGTATGGCATTCATGGGTTGTTTGTTAAAATATTATTTCAAAGAATATTAGCCAACACGGCTTTAAATATGTAATATTCAATAGAATTTCACTACATGTATGTAGGGGTACGAAACTGAACCTTAGTTGTTTAAATTTCATGAAGAAATATCATTGATTGGTGCTTATTCATGAAATGATGCTACCAATCTCCGTACAAAGTCAAGTGTGTAATATTGTAAAACATTTTTAGGCCCAATCAACTGGTTTCTATCCTTGCAAATATGGAAATTGCCATCTCGGCTTTCATACGCGATATATTTATTGCATATGCCTATACAGTTCGTTATAAGCGGAGCAGCTTCGCAACACGGCTATTTTTCTGTATCGAATTTTGTAAGTATCTGTTAATGTACATAATATTATCTGCATTAGACTTTGGTGCATTCGAAGTGTGAATGGTTAATGAAAAGAATTATGGAATGTTTATTATGAACCGATCAAAAGAACTGCACATAAAAGCGTACCTATGATTTGGTATGTATGGTTCCTGGTTATTACGAAAAATATCACCTATTTGATAATAAAATACACAAGATAAGTTTAGTCATATATTGACTTTCGACTCTGTTTAAATAATTGTAGATAAAGCTAAGACGCCACCCGTTACAATGCTTTCTTTGCGAATTAAAACATAATACAAAGTCAATTAAAGACAAAGGACAGGGTACACCTGGCGGTTATATTCATAGACAGCAATCTCTTTCTGGTAACCCTAGGTTAACAGGATATCCTTTAAAATAATAATAGGCAGAGGATGCAATAAAGGCTATTTTATTATAAATCTAATACTAATATTACATGTACATAAATAGAATTATAAATAATTATACTTCAATAAATGTTATAAGACGCAAGGTCACCTAAATGGCAATGAAAAGTTGGGAGGTTCATTGCGAGATCGAATCAGAAATGAGGATATCCGCGAAAGAACCAGGGTAACCGACATAGTCCAAAGAATCCCAAATTTAAGAGGCAGTAGGCGGAGTATATTACTTGAAGATAACAGATAACCGATAGTGCCTAGAAGTTTGCGAGTGGCGACCGCGTACCGGACGACACAGCGTGGGCAGACCACCCACAAAGTGGGTCGATGACCTGGCGAACGTTGCGAGAATCCGCTGAATGCGAGCAACACAGGACCGATCGTTGTAGTGATCTTTGGAGGAGGTCTATGTCTTTTGGCTTAAATGATGAAGATGATGAATGAATGTTTGGTAAATACAATACATAACACCACGTACTAGAGATACAGGAGTAAACAATTGTATAAATTTTGAACTGCTTTTGATAAAATTATTTGCTTCATTAAATTCTACTTTTGTGATCTTAAAGATTTTTTTTTTAGATTTTTATATACAGCGGTGAAGTTGTAATAATTTTTATAGTCAGCTTTGCTTTTACAATTCTGGTGGAATCTCCGTTTTCCGCTATTTTCAAAATGCTCTTAGGAGGTGGTAAGTAAAATATCACATGGAGGTTTACTAGAAAAATTATCTTTGAATTCCTGATTTACAGTTTTTTTCATACAAAATTATATTTTTCAGGTATCAAGAAACCTAAGTCAGAGAAACGAGATGATAAAAAAAATATTCAAAAATCTACTTGCGACTAATCGTGAGCTAAATAAAGCCGCGATATCAAATTCTATTCATTTAAACATTTGCCGTGGTTTGAAAGCGTCATTTCTAAAATATACAACCAGTATTGTTCCTTGAGAATTACTGAACTGCTACGCCGAAAAGTGCTACGATGGCGTAGCTTCACTGTATTATTATGATGTAGCACGTCTACAGCAGCCAGGCCTTCTGTGTACACAAGGTTTTTCTAGATTATAATATTGTAAATAAGAGCATAATGCTTCTTGAATTTTTAGGTATGTGGAAAAAACATGGCATATAAAAAGTAGCTCTCGTAGTGTAATATTTGTCGATGACAGTGAGTTCATTTATTTTTATGCACTGTCTCAATTATAATGTAAAAGTAAAATCAATTTATTACTTCTAGGGTTAAATTAAAAAATAAATAGAATTAAATTATGGAAACCGTTATTTGTGTGTTTTTTTTTTAAATAAATTGTAACTACATTTAAAATAAAAACAAAAAATATGCAGGATTTTTGTACTTTTAACGACTTTCAATGTGATAATATAATACTTTAGTAAACTTATTTATTATTTTTATTCAATAACTCCCAACGTAAAAAGCGGGAGTTATAAGTTTCCAATTTTTGTTCGTGTATATTATGTCACAGACAGCCCTGTCTGTCTGTAGCATCGTAGCTCCCAAATGGATGGATTAATCTCCAAGCGGTTTTTTTTATATGCTAAGTTCATTGGGGTGGTTCTAAGCTATATTTGATCCTTATCTGTTGCTGCACGTCTGCTAACTACACAACTCCGCGATCACTTACAGCAGAATCATTCTGTGTAGCCTCGACTAAGCAGCCGATCAGTTATTTTATTATATATATTTTTATTATATTGTACTGTAATTTTTATTATATATATTATGTTTATTGTCAATGTCATGAAAACAAAAATTAACCGTCAAAAATTTACAAAGATGCGTATAATATTACTAAAGAAACCATTGATAAACAATTTCACCAAATTATTATAATTTTTTTTATACATTTTAGGAAAATTCTCGGACAAATAATATAATTATAGTGTACTTAAATATGAGTAATCCAATGCTATTTACGAATTTCCATCAATATGAAACAATATAAAGTGCTTAGCAAGCCAAAAAGAGATTATAGGAGAAAACAAAGAGCTTAGTCATTAAATAAAAAAAATAATAAAAATTAAAATTAAAAATACTATTAATAAACAATTAAACGAACAAACTAGTGTATTCATAGCTAATCACGTGATGTGTCAAAGTGCCGTTTGGTCATTTCTCGCTTGACTATGTCTATTCTTGAACAAAACAAATCAAATTCAGAATGATTTAGTGTCGCATTGTTAAAAAGTCTCAATGCACGCAACATGTACGTTTTTGCCTATAATTAGTGCTCGTAAACGGCTCTTGCAGAGGTGGTCGACATCTGTACTGTAACAGGTTTGTGTGCAGGTTTATGTGTGACAACAATTCTGGACCATCAATATTACCGTTGGCGATCCTCATCAGAAAACTGACGTCACTAATGTCTCGACGTACACGAAGCGGCAAAAAATGGTACCTAGTACACCTATGCTCATAACCTGATGAAAATTGTTTGGGTTTGTAGTCCAGATAACGTAAATATCTCTGCTGAATTGCCTCCAACCGAGACCTATAGGTTTCATAGCATGGATTCCAAACTTGTGAAGCGTACTCAAACTGAGTCCGTACAAAAGAGCAATATTTAATCTTAATGCATTTGATATTAGTGAACGTCGCCGATGTCCGAATAATGAATCCAAGTGCTTTTGATGCCTTACTTACTACACAGTCAATATGCTTGTCAAAAAGTAGTTTATCGTCATGAGTACACCCAAGTCCCTCATTCCCCTGACTCTCAATATGTTGGTGCCAAGTAATTTGTAACCAGTGCCTATGGTTGATGTTTACGGCTGAATGTCATGTGAAAACATTTGTACACATTAAGTTCAAGCCTATTTATGGTACAGCAGGCTTCAAATCTGCCTGAAGATCGTCAACAGCTGTTTGCCCACGTATGACTTTTAGCACCTTCATATCGTCAGCAAAGAGCAAGATTTTTGAGTGAATAAAACAAGATCCTATGTCATTGATGAAGATGATGAATAATGAAGGTCCAAGGATAGAACCCTGCGGTACACCAGACGGGGCTGATGTCCATCTTGACATAAAGTCACGTAACACAACCGCCTGGCTTTTATTAGCTACGTAAGAAGCAAACCAGCGCAATAAATCTCCATGGATGCCTGCTACCATCAACTTCTTCAGAAGCACATTGTGATCTATGCGATCAAAATATTTTAGTGTAATCAGTGTAAACTGCATCAATTTGTGCACGGCTCTCCATGCCTCTTGCTATGAATTCATTGGCGATGACTAAGTTAGAGACAGTGGACCTATTTCTTAAAAAGCCATGTTGGTGTTCATTAAATGTACGATTCAATACCGCATAAACATCACTGAATACCAGCCTTACCAATATTTTTGCAAAAAGACAACTTGGAGATCGGATGATAATTTTCAATATGTGATTTCTCACCCTTCTTATATACAAGCGTAATAAATGCAGATTTCCAAATTGAGGGAACGATGCCTTCATTTAGAGATCTTTTGTAAAGCAAACACAGCGGAACTACAAGGCTGTCAGCACACTTTACTATGAACACAGGAGGAATATGATTAGGCCCACCGGATTTAGAGAAATCAAGGGATTTTCGCAGTTGAAGCACTGTAGATTGAACAATCTCAACTGTACTGATATAAATGGCACCTTGAGTTACACTGATAGGCAGATTGTGTAACCTTTGTTAAGGATCCTGCGCTGTAAAGGTAGAATGGAAAAATTCTGCGAACATATTGGAATTAGCTTCACCTGAATCTGCAGTAGTGTTATTATACATCATGACACCAGGATAGGAATTAGAGCATTTTAAACTTTGAACGTATGACCAAAATAGTTTAGGGTTGTCAACAGTTGATTTTTGAATTTTATCCAGGGAATTATCTAAACTTTTTTGTTCAAATTCAATAGCTCTTTTACGCAGCACTGTGATAATCCGAGATATTACCATATACTTTATATTTACGGTGAAATTTATATTTTTCTTTTAGAATTTTTATAATTATAAATTTAAAAAAAAAATTTATAATATTTTATGAATTTTTTATTAATATTTTTATTATATATATATATATATATAATTATTAAAAAACTTCAAAAAGAATGAGGCTCTCATTTTGAATGTATTTTTTTGTAGTCCCAGTCAAATTGATGATATTGAAATGAAAAATGAAAATATTCCACTTCTAAGAGTGGCAAATTGGGGGATGAATCCAGTTTTTTGGATTACACGGACTTTCCGTTAACCGATTTCTACAAAACCTAGTAGTGTTTTTTTATAGAAAATTACAATTATTTCAATAAAGTGAATCACCGCAAAAAATATGACTCAGAAAATGACTTGATTAATATGATATTGATCATTGTATCGATTGCTCATTGTATTGATGATTAAATTATGTCAACCAATATTCATTATTCAGATAATTATATCGCATCTAATGTTGTACGTTATGAATGTATTATCATTTTTGCCATAAAAACGATATGACTAATTAAATTAGCATCATTTTTTAAATTTTTTACCCGGTTTTTTTACATTTCAATATTTTTTTTTTTTCATAATATCAAGTGACGGGACGAACAAGTCGTGCACATGATGGTAAATAAACTACACGCCTGTCCATAACAGTCGTGATCTTTAAATCGCAAAGATCTGAGGGACACTGCCACTGCGCCCGTCACCCTGAGACATAAGTTGACAAGTTCCATGTGCCTAATTTCAACAACACCCTAATCCTTCTAGACCGGAACACAGTAATGCTAACATTACTGCTTGGCGGCAGAAATAGGTAAGGCAGTACTTCCCTGGACGAACTCTTACACAAGGAGCTCTACTGCTACTAAATGCAATAAATTTATTTATTAAATATCATTATAATAATAATTACTTGAGCAATGCTTAATTACAAAATAGCTAAGTCAAGTCAAAGTAAAATAATCATTTATTCCATAGGTAAAATTTTTACACTTGAAAACGTCATTTCTTTTAAGCTACTGCTCGTTCACTACGCTGACCTCCTTGAGACGAACGAGTAAGAAAGTCTAGGGATTGCTCTTTTCAAATAAACTTAAATGCAATGTAATGCAATGCAAAAACTAAAACTAACAAAGGTGCAAAAAATAAGGCTGTAGATTAATTATAAACTAATTGCTGATGTCTTACTACCGTGATATTCTTTTTCACGATTTTTTTTTTATTTCAAATGTAAGTGCGCTTTTGACTTCCATCTCACCTGATGGAAAGTAACGATGAGGTCGACGATGGAGTGATGTCCAGAGACGGGACGAACATGTCTAAGGAATACATACACTAGTAAATTTGAACACTTATCTGCCCAAAAAATTAACTAAGTTTTTCGTAACAAGTTTAAATTTCTTTTATGTGGTGTCATATGTGCCATCTAGTGACAAACGCGATGACGTTTCTCTTCAGAATCGAGGAGGTAACATAGTAACATAGCGAGAGTGGCGACTTGAAAAACGTAACGCACATGTTGTATTTGTTTTTGTTTTGATCGTATCTGTGATTTTAAAATAAATTAATAAAGGCCTTGTCCTCGGACCACTATCTCAAACCTGCCGGTTCGTAATTGAACTTTGATTTATTTCGTCGTCGTGTTTGTGAAGTGCGGCCGTTTAATTTGAATTCCCCGTGTATCTAATGGAGTCAGCAGGAAACGAAAAAAGTCCTAATCCAAATAATATTCAAATCAAAATCAAAATCAAAAATCATTTACTTCAGAAATTAATCCATATCATTTGTTAGTTACAGGCACTTATCAACTATGTTAGTACAAGAATATTTAACAAATAGTAATAATTATAGATAAATATATATTATTTTA